AGAGAGAGAGAGAGAGAGAGAGAGAGGAGAGAGAGCGCAAGTTACATTGTCACGAAATTAGACGGTAAATGGGAATTTAGATAGCAAAAACAGTGTCCGCAGCCAGGGGATTTTTCCAGAGTGTCCCTCAAGCTGTTTCACACCTTCTCCATGCAGCCACACAGACTTTATAATCCCCATGAAGCATTTCCTTCCCAGCAGCATACCTGGCATGGTAATCAGTGGCTGGTCTGAGATCAGGAAGTGTAATTGTTAACTCTTCCCCACTGTGAAAAGGCAAAAACAAACAGAAAGCAGAGTTACAGCTCTTCCTTAGACCTCCAGGGCTCAAAGCTCATTGAAAAGCAAAACCATGTAGAGCACATTTAACTTTCCCCCTGTCCAGTAAGTGACATTACTTAAAATTAACTTCATGTGAAGTAGGAAGGTTCTGCAAGGCAACAAAGCAGCTCCTGATAGAGAGATTGCTGATTTGGTTAATGGTTTAAACATGGCAATTGTGCTTTAAAGGAAGAAACTAAACTTACACATAGACAGATTTAAATTTTCCATTTTTACCACTGTTGGATATTGCTACTTCAAATGTAAATGCTGCTGGACTATGCCTATGGCTCTCTCCATTCTGTGAACTAACTGGGAGATTCCAGGACAGAACGGCTGATCTTGCTTGTATATCAGAAACCTATTAAAAGCATAAATAATGCAAGTAAGTTTGCTTTCTGCAAGAAAAGGTTTGTTAGTCAACAACATGGGGTGGCTACTTTGCTCCTCACTGGAGGAATTCTTGACCTTGATAGTGGAAATGGCATCATTGGAACGGAAATTACTTCCTCTTTGCATTTCTAAACCAGCACATTTCAGGCTTTTCCCTTCAAACACCAACCAAAGGCACAAACACAACACAGGGAGGGAGGGAGAAAACATTTCTGTGTCAGTGTTTGCATCACTTGGAGCAAATGAGCAGCTGTGGAGTCTTGGCCATTGCCCCCAGAGCAGGACTTGGGCACAGCCAGGCCCTTTCCCTTCTTACACCTCCCTCACACCACCTTAACCTTGAACCACAACCTTCATAATTAACCTTCATTAAGCTAAAGGACAGCAACAGGCTCTGATTTGAAGGCTGCAACTTCTGGCCTAAGTGTTTTTTGCTGCTTAATTCCACACTCCCAGTTCTCTCTGGGAGAGGCCACCCAGGCCTGTGGTAGCTCTAAGGACAGATGGCAGGAGCAGCAGTGGGAAACACCACAAAACAGGGCCCAGGAGTGGGTTCAGAGGACACAACCCATGTGTGCTGTGCTGACAATGCTCATTAAATGTGCTCAACATCAAAAATATCACTGTGGTTAGACATTTAATTAGCCTCACCAGACTCCAACTGCCTAAACAAGCTGCAATTACTCAGATATTTGCTCCAATTTCTCAAGAGAATATGAAAAAAATTATTTGTTTTCGCATATTTTATTGCTAACAGTCTCAAATCCTCTATGCTGAGCAAAGGATGGATCCAAGAGTGGATAGACCTCCTTGAGTTTAGCAGGTCCTTGGTTTGCAAGGGACTAAACACTTACATACAGCAGAAAACTTCACCAGAGGAACATTCTGGGCTGACACATTGGGAAACTGAGCTGAGAAACACTGAATTTCCACAGCATTTTTGCCCCTTCCCAGCTACAAACTCTGACAACTGAACCCCATTTTTCCTCTCTGTTCAAACCCCAACCCATCAAGAACCAAGAAAAAAAAGAAAAAAGGGATCAATAAGACACAAGTGGTTTGCTAGGAAGTATAAGCACAGGAAACAATGGGAATTGAGCAATACTTACAACTGGTTTGCCAATGCTCAAGGGAGTATCACATTTCTTGGGGTCTGGGTCAGCTTCTGCAAGTGAAACACACAGCACATCACCCCAAAGCCCTGAGAGCATCCCAGGCTGGATGCAAAAGGCCACCAGGAGATGGAGTTTGCCTCACTAGGAGTGTAACAATGGGACTTATTGTGCTAAGTTCATTTTTCCCGTTTGTTTTGGCACTCTGGGGTAGAAACATAAACTCTCCAAAACTAACAGTGTTACAAAAACCCTCTGAGCACATCCTGCACAAAGGGGATCTCTTTGCCTAAGCTGAGCAGAGATGGGTTTGCTCTGACAACAGGAAAACATTCCACCTCTCCCCCCCCCACCAAGGAAAGGTGTTAGGAAAATGACAAGACTTTATCAGTGGTTTATGTGATTTCCTTGGATTTCTGTGCCAAAACACTACAAATTTCTTTGGAAGAAGCCTCACACTGTCTCAAACCAACACTGCTGTGCACAAAGTATTTCAGTGGCTGCAAGTAAATAGCCAAACTCTGTTCCAGTACTGAAACTACAACTGTTCAGACCTGCCTGTACAACTGCTCAAATCTGTTTCCTGAAGGTTTAAATCCCTCTAGGTTAGCCAAAAAGCAGCACAGAGAATGACACTGAGCACCCACAGGTCATCCTCACTTGGAATATTGCTCAGGCCTGGGCCAGGAATGGTAGGGAAGGAAAAAGGTTTCCAATTTGACCTCAGTTGATGTATCTCAAATGAACAAAATTGTTATTACTGTGATTCCTGGAGGAAATAAATCTAACCGTAACAAAAAGGATTTCTGACTTTCTCTCATCCAGAACAGCCAAAGACATCTATAAACTCCTTTATTTCCAAGCCTGTTTTGCAATGAACTTACAGAACTTCAGGTACAAAAAATCCAGAGGGTGTTTTCACCCCTTCAGTGCAACTTACCTCCCATCTCTGCATCTGGACTGCCCTTTGCTTTTCCTATCTGCTTCTGCTTTAGTGCTCCTCCTGCCCCTTGCTGTCCCTTCCCATTCCCGTTGGGAATCATGGCACTGGAGGAGTTAACAACTTTCTGTGGGGAGGATGGAGGGCTGTTCAGTTTATTGTTGGGGTGACCACCAGCTTGTCTGTCTTTTAGCCTCTTCTTCAGGTGTTCCTGCATTTTGAGGCTCCTCTCGTCTCGCTGGATGAAGTTTGTCCTTCCATGGGAACGAGGTTCTGTGGAGAGAGGAATCAGCTCCTTATTCCCTAGAATTTCATAGGGTCATAGAATCATCGAGGGTGGAGGAGACCTCTCAAATCATCAAGTCCAACCATGAACCTGCCATTGCTGGAACCTCTAAACCACATCCTGCAGTGCCAGATCCAGACACCTATCTGGCACTGCAGGATGTGGTTTAGAGGTTCCAGCAATGGCAGGTTCATGGTTGGACTTGATGATTTGAGAGGTCTCCTCCACCCTCGATGATTCTATGACCCTATGAAATTCTAGGGAATAAGGAGCTGATTCCTCTCTCCACAGAACCTCGTTCCCATGGAAGGACAAACTTCATCCAGCGAGACGAGAGGAGCCTCAAAATGCAGGAACACCTGAAGAAGAGGCTAAAAGACAGACAAGCTGGTGGTCACCCCAACAATAAACTG